AGATGATTAGTTTTACAGCTCTACTCAATTATTTTTTTTCGAAATGAAAGCGCATTTCGGAATTTCGGTTGACATGCCACGAGTTAACCCACCTACTCTGATATGATCTATATGATCTTTAGCCAGTTTCCTACTGGAAAGTACTACTGTCGTAGAATTTTGTTGATGAAAGCAGAATTCCTTCATCAATTTCTCAAATATATGCAGAGGGAACATTGACTGGACATATAATAACATTTTTTAAAAATGTCGTCTTTGTCCACCTCGCTTTTTTTCTAGGCACTGTCTTATTGACAGTTGGCCAGAGAGTGACCTGACTAGCATTGGAATTATTAGCGGATGACTCATGCGGCAGCAGCCTTTCCACTACTGATTTTCGAGTTCCTTCACAACTGACTATAGACAGAAATTGTTTTTAATTATTTATAATGCGTTATACCAGAGAAAAGTGGCGGCCCGTTTCTAGTACTCCTTATCTTGGTCGGTATATTTTAAGAGTAATAGGCAATGCCTTTGAGAACCCTATTCTGTTCATTTACGCCTTTTAACTCCCATCGAGGTGAAACAGGGCTGTCAAGCAAGTTTGTTACCGCGTTTTATGGCAAAATGCTATCGATTTCTCTAAGACTGACCCAACCCCTCGTTTCCTAAAACAATGCGATACCTCGCACCTGTCCCAAACTGATTTTCCTGAACGTAAAATCCGGTTTTCGGTTTCACAATGCTCTTGGTGAAAACTTTTCTTGCGCATGCTAATGCTTTTTCGCAGGCGAAAGCGCACAAACAAGCCACCTTAGCCTGTGATAGTCAACAGCGTATGACATCAGGAAACGTCTGCTTTTGCAGAAAATTGTCCTATTTCCATTCAGTAAGACAGCTTTGGGAATATTTCCTCTGCAAAAAGGCCTTCTGAGCTTAAAATTAATATAATAAACGAAAACCATAGCATTTGAGGAGCGTACGCGTGCTTTCGATAAATTCTCATCCGGCCAGTACATTTATATGCGGACAACGTGTGAGTTACGGGATAAACCGATTTTTGACAACCAAATATACAGACAAATATACGGAGTTGAAATGGGATCGCCTCGTGGACCTCTCCCAGCCGATGTCTTCATGGGCAAGCTGGAGAAGTCTCAGTTAAACGATCAGCTCAATAAGCTAGGGCACTGCGGTCGCTACGTTGACGACATCTTTACAATTGCCACCAGAGAAACCACCCTCTTGGATGCTGTGAATCAAGCACACTCGTCAATCAGGTTTACGTTGGAGACGGGAATGGAAATCTTCTTGCCTTTCCTAGACGTCCTTCTAGGCAAAAGAGCTGGCGGCAGCATTCGAAGAAGCGTGTACAGAAAAGACATCTGGTCTGGTCAATATACGAACTTCTGCAGTTCCGTCCCCCTTCAACAGAGACGTGATCTAGTCTGCTGTTTGTCGCAAAGGGTTATAACAATCTCTTCGGCAGATAGCATTCTTGAGGAACATAGAAGAATCCAGGACCTGTTTCGTGAGAGCGCGTATCCTGACAGATTTATTGTAAGGAATCTTGCCAAACGACCGGAAAACTCATCATACCGACCGCAGAAAGGGAAACTCTGTTCCTCAACGTCTCCTTTCAAGGGGACGCGGCAAGTAAGCTCCTGAGAAGGCGCCTTGACTAAGTCGTTTCAAGGACCTTCCCGGCAGCAAGGGTTCAGCAGAAATGTAATCTAGTCCACTGTTTGGCGCAAAGGGCTAGAAAAATCTGTTCAGCAGATAGTGTTAATGAAGAACTTAGAAGAATTCAGGACCTACTTCGCGAGAACTGGTGTTTTGACATAATTATTGTAAGAAATCTTACCGAACGACCGGCAAGACTCATCTTCCCGACGGCGGAAAAGAAAACTCGGTCGGATCATCTTTCGTAGGCGTACCTGGAGTAGACAACCCCCAGTCTAACCCGTAATCCTAACCTCTAACCCCTAACCCCAAACCCGAACCTTAACTCCCAACCCCTAACCCTGATCCCTAACCCCCAACCCAACCCTTAACACTAACCCATGGCAGATACGGCCGCAAAATTAGATCTTGCCGAAGACTCTGCTCCTAAGTGTCCCCTTTCAAGGGGACACGGCTCTACCTAACCCTCACTACCACTTACTGCCTCCCCCCCCCCTCCTTATTCGCATATCCCGCTTGTATGAGAAGACGAACCGCAATCGATTTCTGTTATCACTCACACGTTTTACTTTGAGCCACGTTCGTGTATAAATGTACTGGCCCGATGAGCATTTGTCGAAAGCATGCATATGCTCTCCAACTGGTCCTTTGAATTGCTTCATGAGAATTTTCGCAAATTTACAAATGACAGCATCCATATGCGCCATGCTACTGATTCGAACCTTCGCTGTGTCGTTTCTTGAGGTACGTCCTCCACTGTATGTGTCAGCGACTGCTCTAATGCGGAATCGCGCGGATTCCGTGAGTCAAGAAGTATCAGCCCGTTCGATAAGCCAAAAGTCTCTGACTCAGTGAGTGGAACGATGGAAATAGTGCTCAGTGCCCGAACACCGAGGGGTTATGCGCCTGGAAGATGAACGAAAAGTTATGATGCCTAACCACCCCCGACTCGGGTGAGGTGCATCAGCCTCGTTTTAAGCAATACAGGCAGTACTCACGTCGCGAAGATCTCGCAGACCGTTCATAAAAGGCGGCTGGTGTGGTTTGCGCAAGTTCATCGTCCGCCGCATGACCCTAGTGCTGCTGTCCTTGATCAGGCGTCGTCGCTCATCTGGAGGCGTCGAAGGAGGGGGGGGGGGGGTGGCGGCTAAATCAGGAGTTAGCTCGACAAAGTCCTCAAAGACATGGAAGCAGCTCTTGGACTTTCTGGGTCCGACCTCCGTCGATGGAGGAGCGAGGGAACCAAGCTCAATAGATCCGTTATCACAGATGCTCGCGCTAGGAGAGGTACGATCGATGACGTCACCAAGACTTTCTAGATTGTGCATGATTACAGCTGCACCAAGGGCAAGTATTTGCAAGGACATCAGAAGTTCAAGCCATAAATCTCCTAGGCCTCTGATCGGGGCGTAACCGACAGATGATGGCACATAAGCTTGAGACTGTCATTCCGCTCTCCCTCGTTTTTCTGCATTACTTTTCAAAGTGGTAGGTCTTACACAGGAGACTGAGAGGGTTCCGTATGAGTTTAGACGGGATGGGAGATGTTTATTACCCCTTTATTACTAATCATCATGAAACTATGAGAACCCGTTCGTTCAGGAAAGGAAAACAATCAAGCGATTGCAAGTTTTTGTTTTGCAGCACAAAACGCAATATCAAATTCAAAAGATTAGTTCTCCATGCACCCCGAAAATGCAGAGGAAAGACTTTCTTGTTAAAAGCGCTACTCTTAGAAGAATAACTTTAAGTAGAGATAGGTTCGTGGTGTGTAAGTACTTCGTTGAATTTATCAGTTGGTTTGTGTTATTTTGACTTCAAATTCTCCGTCCTGAGTGCAGTACTCTCGATGATCGACAACACCTGTCCTTGAAGGCAGCAAAAAAGGTCAAAAATACTCTTAATATGCAAGCATTCGACCTTAGAGCAGTCGGTATACTGGAAAAACAACTTTAGAAACGGCTGCTCAAGGGTTCTTCGACTGTGAAAGCTTTCTACCTTGGTAGAGGGACACTCACCGATCGCGCAACGGAAACCACGCGTCTCGTTGTGCCTTACGGGCTCTCTCCCGGGCCCCGTCAGCAGCCGCATAGTGGCGCATGATGTAAAGGCAGAATATCATTACTGATAAAGACAAGGAGGAGACTGGAATGGCCATTTCTGGCTTATTGGCCGTCGCCAGCCCGCCAAATCTACGGCCAGTTTTTATTTGCAACTCTCCTCTTCCCTGCGGTGGGGGTTTCTCCGGGAACCGGAATCCTGCAGTAATTTTACGCAGACAAATGGTCCGCAGTTTTTTTAGCCGTTACTACTCTCCGGATGAGACTACGCCTAGCATCCTAACTCTCACCTGTGGCTCCACGTATCTGGGCTCTGCTCAGCGGCCACACCCCGGGCAACCGCCTCGACCGGCGGGCTAAACCAGGTGAGGGCGGTTACTCCCGGTGCGCGTTGTGCCGCGTGCACAGGGTATTGCGGACTCCGCTGGACGGTTGGTCGGATGGAACATCGCATCGGCACCGTCGTGAAGAGGCTCCGTCTGGTACGCCGCTGGTCAGCCCGTGGGGTGGATCTCCGAATCGGCATCGCCGAGACGCGCCCATTTGGTGCACCGTAGGAGACCGCGGGTTTACGGCGATGTCGTAAGCCATTGGCAAATTTGAGTCGTTCTTCCTCTGCCAAACAAAGTCGTGGCCCACAGTGGAGTCCGGCCGCGCCGGCACATTAAAAGCGGCCCTATTCAGGGGGGGAGGGGGGCACTGCTCGCCTTCGGTGGGTAGGCGCCTTGAAAAGCTGTCCTAAAGATTGCTGGGGAACCAAGTCATCTGCGGGCTGACCGTGGTCGCAGACGTTAAACTGACAGTCGAAACAACCAAAATCGAAACAGCGACAACAGCAACAACAACAACAATATTCACTCTCCTCCTCGTCCTGCCTCTTCCTTCTCTTCCCTTGCCTATTCTTATCCTTCGTCATCTTCTTCCCCACCTCCTTCCCACCGCCCCACTCACCGCCGCCGTCAGACTCGCAGGGTGAGTCCGCTCACTCTGGCAGCCTGGAATGTTCGTTTCCTTTAAGACAATCCGAGGAGCAACCGCCCAAAACGGAGGACAGCGCTAGTGGCACGGGAGCTGGCGCGCTACAAGGTGGACATCGCCGCACTCAGCGAGACCCGATTCTCCAAACAAGGCCAATCGGAGGAGGTGGGTGCCGGCTACACCTTCTTCTGAAGTGGTCGGCCCAGGACAGAGCGACGAGACGCGGGTGTCGCCTTCGCCATCCGGAACGACATCGTGGGACGACTGCCCAGTTTGCCGCAGATCATCAACGATCGCCTGATGAGCCTCCGTCTGCCTCTGCGGGGTCGGGGCAAATTCGACACCATCATCAGCGCCTACGCTCCGCCGATGAGCAGCCCCGACGCCGCCGCAAGAGACAAATTCTACGAGGACCTGCACGCCCTTTTGGCGACTGTGTCGAAGGCGGACAAGCGGATTGTCCTTGGTGAATTCAACGCCCGCATCGGCACAGACCATGCTGCCTGGAGAGGAGTGCTGGGTCCCCATGGTCTCCGCGGCTCCAAGGACAATGGACTGCTGCTCCTCCGCACCTGCGCAGAACACAGCCTCATCCTGATGAACACCTTCTTCTGTCTGCCGGAGCGAGAGAAGGCCACTCGGGGGCATCCTCGGTCGCGTCAGTGGCACCTGCTGGACTATGTCCTCGTCCGGAGGCGAGGTCAGCGGGACGTGCTGGTGACGAAGGCGATCGCGGGCGCTGACGGGGGGATCGACCATCGCCTCGTCATCTCGAAGATGTGTATTCGTCTACAGCCTCGCAGGAGACCACAAGGTAAGCGACCCCCAGGTAAGCTGAACATTGCCTTGCTATCTTTGCCCGCTCACCATCTTCATTTCAGCAATGAGCTAGCTCAACGGTTAGGCAACCATCCAATCGCTGACGCCGCCGCTGCTGATAGCGCCTCCGTGGAGAACCGACGGTGCCAACTGCGAGACACGGTCCAGTCGACGGCGCTAGCCGCCCTCGGTCGCGCAAGCCGGCACCACCAGGATTTGTTCGACGACAACGACGCCGACATCAGTAATCTGCTCGCCGAGAAGAATCGCCCACACAAAGCCTACGTAGACCACCCCACCGATGACAACAGAACTGCTTTCTACCGCAGTCGCCGCCACTTTCAGCAACGACTGCGCAAGATGCAGAACACTTGGACTGCTCGCAAAGCTGAGGAGATCCAAGGATACGCGGACAGCAACGAGTGGAAGAACTTCTTCTCCGCGGTCAAAGCTGTCTACGGTCCGCCGACGAATGCCAGGGGATGCGGACCCACCTGTATTCTACCTTCGTAGACTTGACGAAAGCCTTCGACACGGTGAATTGTGAAGGACTGTGGAAGATCGTGCAGAAATTCGGCTGTCCCGGGCGATTCATTCAGAAGGTGCTTCAGCTGCACGACGGCATGATGCCGCGAGTCACGGACAACGGAGCTGTCTCTGAGGCATTCGCAGTGACCAACGGAGTGAAGCAGAATGCGTGCTGGCGCCTACCCTCTTCAGTCTCATTTTCTCTGCCATGCTGATGGACGCATACCGTGATTGACGCCCCGGGGTCCGCATCGCCTACAGGACGGACGGTCACCTCCTGAATCAACGGCGGATGCACTTCCAGCCGCGCGTATCCACAACCACCGTCCACGAACTTCTCTTCGCCGACGACTGCGCCCTGAACACCACCTCGGATGAGGAGATGCAACGGAGCATGGACCTATTCTCCGCCGCCTGCGGGAA